GCCATGTACATGACGATGGCACTGCCAAAGAAGAGCCCCACCACGCAGAGGTGGGAGGAGCAGGTGGAGAAGGCCTTTCTGCGCCCCTCCCCAGACTGGATCCTCAGGATGGCGACGAGGATGCGGGTGTAGGAGACCAGCACCAGGCAGAGGGGTCCCACCAAGATAAACACAGACGCTGCAAAGATGACCACATGATTGAGCCGAGTGTCCGCGCAGGCCAGCTTGAGGACAGACAGGAGCTCACAGAAGAAGTGGTTGATGTGATGAGGCCCACAGAAGGGCAGCCGCAGGAGGAGGACCACGTGGACCAGGGCCAGCAGGGAGCCACACGTCCAGGAGGTGACGGCCAGGATGGTGCACACCCTCCAGCTCATGATGACCGTGTAGTGCAGGGGGTGGCAGATGGCCACGTACCTGTCGTAGGACATGGCCACCAAAATCAGGCACTCGGTGTGAGCAAAAGCCATATAGAGAAATGTCTGCATTATGCACGGGGCAAAGGAGATGGTTCTTTTCTTGCTCACAAGATTTCCCAGCATCTTAGGGACATTGTTGGAGGCATATGACATGTCAACCACGGCCAGATGGGAGAGAAAGAAGTACATGGGTGTGTGCAGTCGGGGGTCCAGACAGATGAGGCCGAGAATGGCCCCATTCCCCACCAGCGTGAAGGCGTAGAACAGGGAGAACAGGCCGAAGAGGAGAAGCTGCACCTTGGAGCTAACAGGGAAGCCCAGGAGGATGAGCTCAGTGATGAACGTCTGATTCTCCGTCATGCCCTCAGACTGCGTGCATGGGCCACGCCAGCAGCTGAGCTCTCCGTGCTGGGAGCAAATGCAGACCAGGATCAACACCGCACAGAAAGGACAGTGAACGATCCACACCATGTGCACACTCAGCATTTGTTGTCGGAGACATTCTGTCAAATCTTTCAGTCCACAGTAAAACAAAGAGAAAGCTCACTCCAGGTAATCGGCACAAGTGGGTAAGGTAACCGACGGGCGGTGTGCGCTCTTGCTCTCTCTCTCTCTCTGTCTCTCTTACACACACACACGCGCACGCGCGCACACACACACACACACACACACACTTTCAATTGGTGAGTGGTTATCTACTTAAACCATTAACTACGTTTTATTCCTACTCTCACTCCCATCTCCCCTCCCTGAAAGCCTGCTTCTATGGGTCTAAGTAGGTGCTATTTCTGGCAGTGACCCAGTGTCTCTGAACAGTGCTCATCACATCTGAGAGTGAGTGGATGAATGGGTGGACGGATAGGTGGGTACATGAGTGGGTGGGTGGATGTGTGAATGAAAGTGTAGGTGAGTGTGTGACTGTATAGGTGGATGGATAGATGCATCGATGGGTGGATGTGTGGAAGTGTAGGTGAGTGGGTGAATGATGAGTGGGTAGATGGAAGAAGCCATTACATTACAAACAGCACCCAAAGGGGATATCAGATTTTAGTCAATTCTTTCCACTCTTACTATTTTTCTGCCATTTCACTACTCACAGGACCACAGGAGCTATGGAAAGGTAGAATCAGGAGGTTCCGGAGAAGTGTTCACCTGTCACATGACCAGTGGATCATCCCCTATATGGTGTTTGTCTCTAAATCTGAAAACACCAGTCCTGCCTCAAAACCCAGAAAGTCACTTTCCTAAATTGACCTTGTATCTATCTCCAAACCTGAATATTGACTTCTGGAACCTTCTTTTCCTTCCCTTCAAACTCTAGCTTTAAAAGGTACTGCCATTTGCCCAAAACCCTTACTCACTGTGGGATCAGTCCTGATCTTATCTCAGAGTTATGACTAGCCTTGGAGACAATTCCACAAAGATCAGGAGAGATTTTGAAGGTCAGAGTCAAAGTTTGTGCTCCCTCTGGAGTCTTAGGAAGAGGACCCTCACTTCTTTGTGCATTCTGCTCCTTCACTGCGCCTGCGCCCCGGGGCACCAGGACTGAAGGGTTTATCAGGAGACTGACTCCACCCAGTCCCTCCCATATGGCCCCTGAGAGTTTAGTCCAAGCAGAAGCAGCACAAATGCTTAGTACAGAGACACCATTTCTATCAGGAGACCCAAACAGTGTTTGTCTTCCCTCTCTGTCCTGGGGGCCCAGGGGATCACACACAGGGGGAAAGGAGCTTGTCCCCAGGGGGTGGCCTAACTCCAATGAACACAAACACTCGTGTACCAGTAGAACAAACTCGCCCCTGGGACCACAGGACACTTGATGATCCCAAACAGAATGGTTACAATGGCATGCCTTCACCATCCCAGTGTTGCCCCAAATGGATCAAGTACGCAGAGGAGGCAGCGGCTTCTTCCTGCTCAGTGATGGAGGGAGCTGTCTATTTGCATTTCCTCCCCCAAATCATCACTGCTGCTTACAGCCCTAATTCATCATCATTTTTCAGTTTCTGCTAAATTAGTAAGAATTTACTCATGTTCATGGCGTATAGAAAGGCGGTCACACCAAGCGATCTTTGTTTCCTTGGCGCTTGTAGTCAGACAATTTTTATATGTTTCTCTTCTTCCTTAACTTTTAAATCACACACGCTCTCTTTTTTTTTATTCTGATTTATTTACAAAGTCTGAATGTATTGTTTTTTTCACAAAAGATTCTTCTCATTTTCTTCACTCCATCCACCCACTGAATTATGCAACCCTATGATTAACACCCAAATCCCCCATCGTGACCCCTATATTTCCACCCTCCCCCCCCGCCTTGGACCCTCATACTCATTCTACAATAATAGTTTTCTACAGTATTTGTTCTTGTGGGACTGAGTGAGTTCACTCAGCATAATGCTCTCCAGCCCCTCCCAAGTTAGGTAGTAATTTACAAAATCATTGCTCCTGCGTGCTGCATGGTATTCCCCTGTATGAATGTGGTACACAGGTTCTCCTGGTAGAAAAAAAAGTACCATAAGTCTACAGTTCAAGGGTATTTGTTAACATTTAGGGCATTTGTTTTATTTTTTTTTTATTTCATGTACTTTTAACATAGTTAAATTCATTCAGCATATAAAATTTCATATGTTTCTGTACCACTTACAATATTCCAGGTAATAGATCAATTAATTTAACTTTAATGGTTGTATACTATTCCTTTGTATGTATATATCATAATTTTTAAAAAATTTATTTCATTGTGATACAATTTAAAGTATCAGTTATACCAACATTTATGAGTAGGTAAAATGAAATTCTAGTTACTATATTAATTTACTATATTCTATTCTATTATTATATTCTTCGAAGTGATACAGCACTCTTCTGTTAATAAGCTGAACTGAGATAACCTGGGGATGCTGTGATTCTGAACCTTCTGCCATTGGGTTGTCAAATGCCATAACAGTTATGCATGATGAACAGGGTTTGGTGGAGCTCCCAGTTTAAGATAGGTTTGGAAGCAGGAGTGGCATCCACTTCCTAAACAACATGCCCTGGAAACTCTATGAACTTTGGTAAATGTCGATAGTTATAGAAAGGCATCAGGTCTTTTGTCCATAGAGTCGTTATTTGTAGTGCTCAACTCAAAGGCAATCAACAACAATAACAACAAAAAACACCTCCCCATTTCTATCATTTTTACACTTATATGTTGGTGACATTAATGAACACATTCCCCACGTTGTACCATCATCACCATTATCTGTTCCCAAATTTGTCATCAGTCTTGGCAGAAACTCAGTACCACTTAATCAGTACCTGTTCATTTCCCTCCTTCCACTAACACCTGGAAACCACTAACAAAGTTGTGTCTACACCACTGCTTGTCCTGTATCTGTCACTTAAACAGTACCACATAAATACACCATTTACCACCAGTTTTCTGTGAGAAAAGGATGGGCAGTCTCCTCCCGTGCCATTACTGCCCCTGAAAGCCGGCTGGAGGGTCAGCTATAGGTCACTTCTGACTCGATGGCACACAACAACGATGATGACATGTCTTAGTTACTTCATTTAGCACCATGTTGGTGCACCCATGTTGTAGCATATATCAGGCTTTCATTTTTTGTTATGGCTGATTAATATTCCATTGTATATATGACATCTTCACTATCTAGTCAATAGGTGCGAGCATTGGGGTGTTTTCACCTTTTAGCGATTGTGAATAATGTTACAATGAGCAGTGATGTTCCGCTTGATCTGCTTGAGTTCCTGTTTTCTCTGCCTCTGGATATAGAGTGAGAAATGGTACGTTTGATCATATGATAATTCTATGTTTAACTTTCAGAGAAGTCACTGAATTGTATTCCACACAGACTGCACCATTTTATGTTCTTACTGGTACTGATGAGAGTTCCAGCTTCTCCATATCCTCACCAACACTTGTTATGTCCATTTTTCTGAAAATAGCCATCCTTGTGGGTATGAGACGGTATCTTAATTTTGATTTGCATTTCTTGTGGAAAGGAGATACACTATTAACCCAAAAGCAAGTAGTTTGTATCCACCAGGCATTCATCCATTTTAGAAATTTTTATTCACTTTTAGTAGAGATTTTGGTCCTCTTCTTGTTGTTGTTATTTGGTGAATTGTAGAAGGGTTTTTAATACATTCTGAATATTAAATCTCTCAGATACATCTCAAGCTCATTGCTGTCAAGTTGGAACTGGGTTTCTGCCACTGTAAATCTCATAGGAGAACATTACGCATCTGTCTCCAGTGGAGCAGGTATTGGATTCAAACCAAAAGAGTGGCTACAATAATGGACCTGAACATGACAGAGATCCTGATGTTGGGAGCGGACAGGGCAAGATTCAGATCTGTTCTTCCCAGGGTTCGCCATGGGTCAGAGTTGGTTGGAAGGCATCTGACGGTGACAGTGTTGTTCTGTACCATCAACTAGGAACTGACAGCTCCAGTGAGTTTTCAAAAGTAGTAAATCACAAAACACAAGAAGCAAATGTAAGTCAGAAGAGAACCTGAAAATTTCCCTAGAGCACCAAGAAACCAAAAGAAAGGGAAGAGATGTTGAGGTGAAGAACTGAGACTTCAGTATCAATACTGAGAAATGCTATGGGCAAAAAAAATCCCCAATGATCCAGGAAGCATCAAAAGAAGATGAAGAGAATGTACAGAATCATTTTACCAAAAAGAACTTGTCAACACTGAACTATTTCAGGAAGTACCATATGATCAAGAGTCAATGGTAATGATGGAAGATGTTCATGCAGTTATAAAGATTTTGGCAAAAAATAAGGCCCCAAGAATTGATGGAATACCATCTGGCATGTTTCAAATGACAGACGCAGCCTGGATGTGCTCACCAGGAAGTTTGGAGGACAGCTGCCTGGCCAACTGACTGGAAGACATCCATATTTCTTTCCATTCGCAAAAAAAAAAAAAAAAGGTGATCCTAGGGGAGCTCTGGTGGCCTAGTGGCAAGGAGCTGCAACTACAATCCCAGAGGCGCATGGTTCGAATCCACCAGATGCTCTGCCGGGGAAGGAGGGACAATCTCCTCCTGTACTAGTCAGATCTGATTTGACGGTACACTCACACAAAAATAAAAACAAAAAAAGGTGATCCAACAGAATAAGGAAATTATCAAACAATATCATTACTATAACATACACGCAAAATACTGCTGAAGATCAAGCAAAAATTACTAGAATGATACATTGACAAAAAACTGCCACAAGTTCAAGCTGCATTTAGAAGAGGTCATGGCACCAGGGATATCATTACTTATGTCAGATAGATTCTGGCTGAAAGCAAAAAAACACCAGAAGAGTGACTACTTGTGTCATATTGTCTATGTA